GGGGGGGGGGGGGGGAAGGAGGGCGTAGGCTCTCTATATACACGCGGCACGGGATTTTTATTTCTCCCGTTTCACGTTATTATTACAAAGTTTCCGTTCTCTCGCCACGTCACGAATAATTCAATCCTCCTATCGCTCGAGGCCGCCGGAGCTTCTATCGCATGCATATTGATGTATCGTTATCGGCGCCGCCGCCGATGGAAGAAAGAACGGACATGCTGCCGGCTTCGCGCGAGAATAAGGAATCAGCCCGATAGAACAGCTCCGACGCAGGCACGGGGCCGACTGCTTGATTTCCGGTCGCAGCGAATCTATGTCCCAATGTCCCAATTAACTTTGTTCCAACGAATAAGGGAACGATGAGGACGTTCCGGGCGCCGCGAGCGATATCGATTCACGGTACGGAGGGAGGAGGAAAACATCAATCTCGTTAGGAAACTGAAGACGAAGGATCGGAAGAAGCGACGAGTGAGAGAACTCGCGTCGAAATTTTCCCATGTACGGCATGAATTTCTATTAGAATGTCCAATTGAGAATCCCGGAGGAACTCATTTAGTTATTTCCATCGGAATCGATAATTGTTTAAGGAAAATCCGACTGAATTCCAATTAGATCCCCTGAAAAAATTGTCTATACGGATAACTACTTCATGTGCTCACCGCTGCTTTCGCAACCCCGAATTCGAATCCGGGGAACACAAGCGAAACGAGTAACGTAACGGTGTTCTCCCTGATCGTAACTTTGCCGAAAACGCGTACACGAGGGTATTCAATTGCCGAGGCGATGGCCGCTCGTTCGCCACGTCGTTCACCACGAGCGGCCATTTTCCGTGATGGGCGCGTGAAAACACGCAGGGCGCTAATAAACGCGCCGTTTACGCTAAGAAGTGGGTAAATCCCGTAAAGCGGAAACGCTTCCTGGCGGGAGAGCCAAAGATTACGCCGTGCCATGAGCGGGGCCTCCTTCGGGGCTTCGCAGCGTGAATCGCACGCGGCGACGCCGAAACTTTCCCTCTTATCTTCTGGACTCCGGTTTCCTTCCTTTTCCGCGGGAACGCACCTCCAACCCCTTCTGACCTTCCCACCTCTTTCCTTTCCCTCGCTTTCCCCCCTCTCTCCCTCCCCTCCGCCGTTTTCCCTCTGAGAAAACTTCACAACGCTCCCAACGACGTCCATTAGAAGTTGCGCGAGTTTAGTGTAGCACTTAACAAGTAATATTGTTTCGGAAATGTTCGTGTCGCGAGACTCGAAAAACCTGTTAACGCGAGTCGCGTAATCTCACGGAGGGAAAAAGTTCGATCGCTCCGGTAACTTGGCGAGTGCGTCGTGGATAAGCGGCGTAACGGGGGAATCATATCGTCGTGAAATGAATGAAAGGGGGGAGGGGACGGCGGTCATAGCGCGATTAGACGCTCCCCGCGACTTTGAGCGGTGCGATGGTTTTCCGGAAACATTCGCGCGATTCTTTCGACTCGCTGGTATAAAATAAAAATTCCGATATTTCGCGATCGACGGGTTGGAATTATTCAGCTTTCTAACGGCTACAAATGAAAAGCGTGTGTATCGCTGTTAATAACCGCCGCATTATTCAGCCTCGCTGTGACGCGATCGAGGGAAATTGTGTCCTCCCGTGAAATAATTACACCGAGAAAATAATTCCGCCGAGTATAAATATTCATCGTTATATCAGGCATCTCCTTTCCGCCGGTAGCTGCTGAACGAAAATTAAGAGAGAGGTAACTGAAAAATACAGCCGGTTTTTCGCAGGAACGGGTGTGTGTTGCGCGCGGCAAGAAAATACGGCAGACTCGGCTGGTAATCGTCGAGATTACCGAGAAAACGCGACGAGACGGCCGACTTCTGGATCCCATAGCTTCGCGCGACAGCCCGCGTCCTTTTTAACCCTTTGTCGTCGGGTGTCGTCGTTCTAATAATAAAAATGGTCTCCTTCCGGGGATCAGCCGCGGCCGAACGCGCGCCTTTATGAATTATGCCGCTGTAAAAGGGAGTGATCTGCGTCGTTGCGATTCCACCGCCGGTACTTCGCTCCACGACGAATATAATGTCGCGGGTCGGCCGCGCGTCTGCGGGGGACGGTAACAGATCGAAGGCAATTTCGCGGGTCCTAATGAATTCTTTCTGGCCGAGCGCGGCATTAGACGGCGGATGGTGGTTGAGAAATGAGTTTTCCTCGAACCGCCGTCCGGCGTCAGACGGCTCATATTCCGGGCTAATCGCTGGCATTACACCAATTAGTTTTTACGACGATCTCGAGTGCCGCCGTGCGATCTTTTTCCGCGCGAGAATGTACGCCCCGCGTATTTGTTTACGACGGCGATAAAACTATTACGTTAGAGAGCTGTTACGCTGCGGCCAAGAATCGCAAATTGTGCGCCGGCGATATCGGGGCAACATGCGAGGTGTTTCGAGGAAACAACGTAATGAGAGGGGAGAGGCAACTTCATCATCCTCCGTATTTCGCTTGCTTTATTTAGCGGAGCTGCTTTTTCACGAGAATGTTAAAAGAATAGATGTAAAGTCGCGAGGTCTTCTTCGTTGATTATATACATGTACACACACATATTGTCAGAAAGTCGGAAGAGACGGGGGGAGGAAGAAAGTGAAAGAATGGCAGAGGTTGCGAATTGCAGCGGACGCAATCAGCGGGATCAAGAGAGCGCGGCTCAAAAATGATTTAATCCACCGACGTTTATTTCCTCCTTGTCCCGTCGCTGCTTTTTATTATCAGGCGCGTCGTTACGGACTACCGGGTGACAAGTGTTCAAAGATAAGTACCGACGCAAGAAGAGAGACGGCGAAATTGCGCCGTATTTCTGCACAAAGTAGAAAATATGCGCCGAATGCACAGCGGCGGGGGAGCGCATCACGATGAAACGCGCGTATCTCGCGCTATATATTATATACAAAAGAGACACATGCGCGCGCGCCCGGTAACAAAATCGGCCGAGAGCCACTGCAGAATTCATAAGCGAGCGGAGGAAGCGCACCGGGCGAAAGGGTGAAAGGAGAGGAGAGCGAAAGAAAAAGGGAGAGGAGAGCGCGCGCGCGCGCGACTGAGCTCGTCGATAATACGCTCGCCGAAACGATAGCCGCTGAAATATTCCGGCGCATAGCTCGCAGCGTCCGCCGGATCTTCGTCGTTCCCGAGATACCGACTTATCCCTTTTTGTATCATCAGCATTCTTCTTTCGACGCTTATCCGAAAGAGGAGACGCGCCGACTGGCCCCGACGACAACATTCAGACTCGCCCTTTCCGCCCCATCTGCGTGGCAGTCTCGCGATTTCGTTACCTTAATTACGAAATTCTGCGCTTCAAACGGGCGTCGCGTCGGAACTTTCAACGAAGTTTGCCCTGTCAACTTTCGCACGTCCGAGGCCGTTGCGCCCGCCTTGATGCGACCCCCGACGCACACGACGCCGCGGCAAAGTTTTTCGCGAGCGAACGAAGAAATATTCAAGAGCCCGCATACTGTGCATGCTCGCGTAAAGTTCGCCCCGCACGTGCGCAAAGTGCAGTCACGGGGTGGTTTATTAATAGGAGGGGACGGAGTCTCAGCTTCTGAGGATAAACGGGGAGGTAACGCCGGCTGGAGTCGCACACACACACATACACGCACGCGCATCTACGACGTAGAATTGGGAGGACGCCGGGCTGGACAAGGTTAGAAGGGTGGAAAGAAGACACGAAGTAAGCGAGCGAAATTGTGTCGCTGTCCGGGATGGGCAAAAAGTAGAAATTCCAGTCGCATAAAATACGACACGCTGCATAAAGAACTGGAGGGCTTGAATTTACAAAGCGACATCCGCGCGCACATCCGACACCGGCGGTAAGAACTCGGAAAAACACCGGCATTACGACGAATCCGACGGGGGCTGCGTTTTCGCCCGTCCCGAGAGCACCGTTCTCGTCTTCGGCCGAACTTGCTTCTCGACAAACTGTTGTCAAGTCGTGAGCTTCCCGAACGCGAGAGGAGGCCATATTCCGCGACTTTTGCGTCAATCATGTCCGGGCGAGACGCAACGCCGTTCGTCTCATATACAATAATGAGAACTTCATCCCGAGTGCCGGCGCGTTGTTTGCCAACACGCCTGTTTACATTTCATTCCATTTCGACACGATACTCCGTAATCAAGTTCGCGATAATCTCGAAGCGGCCACCGCGCCGCCGATATTAACTTCGTCTCTAAACGATATTTGTTCGCTCCGCTCCGGCGTTGCACGCGATACAACGTGCGCGGCCACCGCGCGCAGAATCGGCGCAATCACGCCGGAACATCGGACGAGTTGCATTACCGTCTCTCCCCCTCCCGCCCTCCGTACGCAGCGTCGCATTTACTCTTCTCATTTCGCCCTCCAAGTCATTGCGTCCTCCGATTGCAACGTAACATTGTACTACCACCGGACGCGTATTGTTACCCTCCCGCTACCACCCTCTCGTTCGTGCGACGATGCTCTCTATGGTTCATCGAACATGTAACAACTTTGGACTTATCCTTTTTCTCCTTTGAACAAAGCAAGGATCACTTGAAGCAGCGAGCTCGGCTCGTTAACGCGCTGAATGATCGCAGTAACGGCGCCCTCTCCGTCGGCGAGGCAAGCAGTTACCTTATTCCTTAATAGACAACTTCTTCCGCGTCCCCGATGTCTCACCGTTTCCTCGCCGCCGGTTCGTTAGTTCCCGTTAGCGAATTAGTCGCGATTAACGCGATCAACCGCAACCGAAGTATCGACGCGGCGAACGGACGGACGGGCGGCGGATGATAAGAAAAATGTATTCGCGGCGAGGCGCCTCTTTCATTCATATTTCAAGCCTGCAACACGGCGAATCGATAGTCCCACGCCCGGCGTCGGAAGCGTCGCGACAAATGCCATTCATCCTTCCCCGATGCTGGAATCGGAAAGTTACTTCCAATGCAATTGGATTCGATCGTCGCGCAAGAAACGTTGCGCGACGGTGGTTCTCTTCCTCCTCCGTCGTTCTTTTTTTCCTTCCTTCTCTCCCCTCCCCTCTCTCTCTCTCTCTCTCTCTACCCGTTCTTTCTCTCTTTCTCCGCAGGTGAAGCCCGATTCGGAAATGGTGTTCGAGCAACACGGACTGTTGTCGACGATATCGAGTCTGCTGCTCGAGCTAAAACCGGGTCATCTCGCCAGCGACAAGATAAACGTCAGGTAATTTCGCTCTTTACTACGTAGTATATTTCCGTCGTTCGACGGCTGTTGCTTATGGCACCTCGGGCACCCCATAAATATACAACGCCCGGCCGCGAATACGAGCAGCAGTTCGTTTTACGCGAGTCTCGCGCGATCGGCCGCGATAATTTTGCCGTCTGGCCGGTCGGAGAACCACTACGCTGACTTCGCACACCATGATCGAATGTCTTGTTACAGGTGCGAGGCGACGGTGCGATCGACACACGGCATCGACGAACCGTTCGTCGACACACGCAACACCGAGGTCTTCGGTAAGTCCACGTGAAAACGAGACACAATCGATACGATCGGCGATACGAACGACGAGTCGGGATCAGGAAACGGGAGGGCACGAAATCGCGGACAAGATAACGATTATCGGTGACATCACGGCGCAGAGACGTCGCGCGACTCTGGCCATTTTCAGCCGAGTAAACACGTATGTGAAAGACTAACGAGCTCAGCACGAAATTTAGCGCTCGTTTGCCACCGTGCGGCTCTCATTTGTTACACGGAGAAAAATAATCCGCCGGCGCGGCGAATTTCACGCTGTCGCGATAAAATCTGTCCGTTACTGTATGGATAACAAAACGACTTGTTAAGAATGCTAATTGCCATTTGCCATTGGATTATTTCGCTGAATCTACAAATTATCTTGCGGTAAGAATAAATCAGTAAAATGCGGATTAATGTTATTTCGCTCCAGCAGCTAATTAACGTGTCCTAACGATAAATTCAATCGGCAGAACAGTTTTTCATCGTGGCGGTAAAACTGTTTCAGCTCCATTTATATAACATACTAATTTAGGTATATGGAATTAATGTTTACCGCTGTCGCGATGAATATGCTACGATGTGATTTCGCTACGACAGCGCGTTATTTTTCTCCGTGTAAGATAGCTCCCTTTTCCGGATGATTCACATGCAACGGGTATCGCGGCAGAAATTTTTTTTAGCTTGATGTATCCAGCGAACGTAATAATCACATTAACTGATACGAAACTGTACTCGTAAAATTAGCCTTCACGGTCTAATTTTTCGCTATTTATGCACGTGCCAATTTATACCGTGCCGTTACCAAACGGCAAATCAGACGTAGACAATTTGAGCCACGTGCCAATTCGAGGAACAGGCTCATTAATGGGCCGTGACAATGAAGCGATTTTCGATCACGTTACAGCGCGCTTTTGACGAATCGCTCACAGACGCAAGTGTAACTGCACGTTAATGAGAGGAGAACGACAAGCCGCGCGATGGGCAGACTCGAAAAGAAGAATCATAATTGCTAACGCGCCCCCCGTCGAGCCCCGCGGCGGGAGAAGTTACGTCGCGCCGGCCGGACTTCGATTTTCCGCTTGCGACAGCTTCGATTACCGATATCGCCCGTTCCAAGTAGCGAGCGTTCGAGAGAAAATTTACATGCTTTATTATTTCCCAGCATGGGAAATTAGCGAGGGATCGCGCGAAGGACGAGGGGGGCGAGTCGGCGGCTGGCTCCCGTGGGGGCGAGCGCCGCGGAGAAATTAAGACAATAATTTACAACCGTTACCACCTGCTCTCGCAACGCCTGCACCTGCAGCTACTTTAACCTTTCCGCCGCCATCCCCCTTCTCCGCCCCTATCGTATTCACCGACGATCGTGCGTTCGTTACCATCCTCTAATTCCTACTTAAATTAGTTCCGACCACTTTTCGCTCTTCTCACCTTGCCCGCTCTCCTCCTCCGTAGTCACCTGGTCTCTTCTTGCCGGCCACTTTCTCTTCCTCGTCTTCTCCCGTGGAAAACCACGAGCGCATTATGGGAGGTAACCGGCGATATCTGCCAGCAACGGCGATAAACGCGAAATTACAGACAAAGCGTTCGCGCGCTTCGTTTCCTCGCGGCGACGGTTGACACGCCGTTAGAGGGGCAAAACGCGGCCGCGAATCAAGGGATACGTGATTCATCAGATCGTACACGTAGGCACCGGTGTTGGTGCGCTCGCATTCCCAACGGCGTTTCGCGCAGCCGCGCCACGGCCGCAACGCGATTAAATATTTATCAACTAATCCCTCGCGTCACGCAATTCGAGTTACGATAAGAAATTCACGATTCGCGCGGCGTTACAACGCGAATATGGGCGAGCGCGTGCGTCAATGTGTGAGTGCCGATATGTATCGCGAGAATTGCACACCGCGATAATGTTATTCGGCCCGTCGTACGCGGTATTCAGCAGTCATAAAGAACAAACGCGTTTATTCGTTTCCGGATCAAGTTCCAGCACTCTGACATTTATCAGTTCGGATTTCGTTAACGTTTTCGCTCGCTCGCTCTCTCTCTCTCTCTCTCTTTTCCATTCTACCGCTCGATTTCCACGATCGAAGTGAGGAAGGAGGACAGAGAGCCGCGCGAGAGAACCGAAGGTCGTTGCACCTTCATCATTTACGATGTACGCGACATCGCGCGTTTCATCCGATATCTCTATCTCGATCGTTTCTGTCGGAATTTATCGAGGTCAGACGTGGGGAGGACAAAGGGAATATCTCCGAGAGACTATTCGATGCCTTTATTCGACTCTAATGCGACACGTTGAGCGAAACTGTTATAAGATATGCAGCGGGAACGCAGAGTATTCGAAATCGTTGATCTCAACGCGGCGTCCGCACGAAGTACATAACTCTTTAGGTATGAAAAATCAATTCGCCAAATATCGGGAAGTCAACGAGATGCAAATATCCCCTACGCGGACATTTGATCGTGCCGCGAAAGCTGGTTTTCTCATCGACGAGGATTCATATTAATATTATTCGTTCGATGAACCGTAAATCAAGTTTTCGCCAGAGCGCTCGTTCACACGCGGTGCGACGCCGGCAATATTTCATAGCGATGTAAGCAGACTATTTTTCGTGGGAACGGGCAGACACTCGCACAGTTGACCGGCCGTTGAAATCGCGATAGCTGCCAAAAGGGAGATAGAGGAGGGGGGGGGGGGGG